GACCCACCTGGCCAGCCCCACAACAGCCAGAACTCAAGGGAGCGAGAAGTAACGCTGGCTGGGAAGGACGTGGGTTGACTCAGAAGATGCTGCAGTGAGCCCCAGCACGGGCCACACCACAGGCCACAAAGCTGGAAAGCCCCAACCCAGCTGCACCAAGCCCTGGAAAGCCTGGGAGCAAACGGAAAGGGGATTGCTGTGACGACAAACCCCTGCCTGCCAAGGATCTTGGCAAGGTGCAGCACAGCCGTGTGGCCATCTGGGCACAGTGGCACCCACAGCTCTCCCCTCGCCCAGAGGACAGGGGACACGGCAGAGCGACCCTGGCAAAGGGTGCAGGGTCTGACTCAGCTCTTCCCTAAGTGCTACCAGCCTCGTTCCTGCAGGTTAATCTTTAATTGCTGATTAAAGTATTTTTTAATAATTGACAAGAGGAAATAAGGAACCAGGGAGACTGGTACTGCCAGGCACAGGGGACAGAGGTACAGCCATCCCAGGGGGTTAAAGAGGGTCGTGTCCCTGTGTGCCTCCTGAGCCGGGCCCGTGGTCCCCACCACAGGCTGGGCACAGCCTCATCTGCCGCTGCAGCGTGGGAGCCGCAAGACACTCCCTCGACTCTTCCCCGGCCCCAGGGAAGGCAGTGGGGTCCTGCATGGATCCTGCTGTGCTCTGCCCAGGTACTCACATCGTGGGCGAAGGCGTAGGGGGTGATCCAGGTGATGGGCTGCCCCAGCACCTCAGCCTGGTAGTAGATGCCCTTGATGGAGAGGAAGACCTGGCAGGGAACAGAGCAAGAGCTCAGTGGGAGGAAGGCCATGGGTGCTCCCTTGTCCCTGTCCTCATTAACCCTTCCCTCGTCAGCAGATTCATCAGGGGAGTGTCACAGACAGCCTGGCAGGACTTGTTCCCCATCTGAAGCTGCCAGCACAGTTGGCCCAGTGCCCTCGTGGGGCACAAGTCCACCACCCCCACGGCCCCCCGGGGCAAGGAGGTCTCGTCCCCGTCCCTCCCCGCAGCACCCACCTTGCGCAGGGAGCGGGAGGCGATGACATAGTTGAGGAACTCCACGGCCAGGCGCCGGCAGAGCTGGATGGTCTGGACATGGCACTTGCCCGTCCGAGGGAAGGTAGAGAAAAGGAAGCACATGGAGAGGGCATCGTCCAGGTCCCGCAGGGCGTCTATGAAGGTCGGGTACCTGTGTCCGGGCGGGAGGATAAGGGATCACACCCAGCCCCAGTGCCCAGCGAAAGCTGATGAGGCTGGCAGAGACCTTGCAAGAGAAAGGAACGGGCACCATGGAGCACCAAAGCTGGTGACCCACAGGGACAGGGGAGGCCACGGTCACACAGAGACCTCCAAACAGCTTCCCAGGGTTCATGGCTCTCCAGGGAGCCAGGAATCTCCCTGGTCAGGGGATGGCAACACCCCTGCTTACAGGGCAGGTGTAAACAGGTTTTACAGCATCTGCAAGGACTGAGTGTTGGGGGAAACCCAGGCTGGACCGAGGACAAGCACCCCCGTGGCCTGCAGGACAGCACACCAGCACGTGGTGCTCCTTGGCCAGGTGGGAGGAGCCTCCAAGGCACTCAAATACCGCACAAAGGATATCGCACAACCCCACAGCTCAGGCAGCAGCACAGCTGTGAAGTGCCCAGACCATCTTCCCTCCCGAGCACAGAGCTTGTTGGGCAGCATCTGTCCAACACAGCAACATGCACCAGCACAGCGAGGTCCCGGGCACCACCAGGACAACGAAGAGACCTGCCAGAGCAGGTTCCCACCCTCCTGGATCTTCTCCTCCCTCACTGCCACCAAATTCAGGAATTCTGTTGGCATGATTCACCCTCTACCAGCCCTCCCTCCAAGGAAAACAATGCTCAGGGAGAGGAGGATTAATCTCAGCATCTTCCTGGAGCCATCTAGGACAGCCAGGCACTCTCTGCTCACTCATGCTTTGCTACAGCCAGCACACAACGGCCTTTTCCTCCAGCCCAGAGACACACATTTCAATCAAAACCTCCAGAATATATATAGGAGGTGGATTCCTAAAGAGGGACAGACATGGTGAAGGCTCCACAGGTCCGGGCGGCTGCAAGAGAAAGCTCCTCCCAAAAAGAGGATGGCTCTGCTGGGACTTGGCGCTCGGTGGCTCACCTCTCCTTCACGATGTGGTCGAGCTTGTAGGTGGGCTTGTTGTCCTTCAGCCGGTCTACGGTGCCCCACTCACCCTTCCCGTACGCCTTCCGGAGCTTCCGCACAAACACCTGCGGGGAGAGGGGGAGGCTGGGGGCTCTAGTATCTTTTAGACTAGATATGAGGAAGGATTTCTTTGCAGAAGGGGTTGTTGGGCGTTGGAATGGGCTGCCCAGGGCAGGGGAGAGTCCCCATCCCTGGAGGGGTTGAAGAGTCGGGCTGACCCAGCGCTGAGGGATCTGGGGGAGTTGGGAATGGTCAGGGTGAGGTTCATGGTTGGACTGGAGGAGCTTCAAGGGCTTTTCCAATCCAGATGATTCTGTGATGCTGTGGGAGAGGACGAGCCCCGAGCAGCCCCTCGAGCACCTCCCTGGGGGTCTTGTGCAGGATAGTTACCTTATACTCCCGAAATTTGTTGACAATGGGCTCATGGAGGAGGAATTTTATATCCTTGAGAAGGTAGAAGGTCCTGGGGGCAGTGGAGCCTTTGTTCACCTTCTTCTTGTGCTTGGGCTCATGGGGGTAAATCCCCTTCAAGATGCAGAGGCGCCTGGTAACAGCGATGAGGGTGAGTCACACGGGGCCGCAGCACCCACGATCCCCAACACGGAACACCCCGGGGCCCTCCCCCTCCAGCGCTGCCACCGCTTAGCAGGGGGGAAACCCCCCAAACATGGCAGCCTGAAACCTCGGGACACACAGGACACACCACCCCACTCCCTACAGAAAGGGCCATCCCACACGCCCACTATGGGCTCCATCTCCTAGTGCTCCCCCGGGTGGGGTGGGGTGGGGGGCAGGAGGTCCCGGGGGGGTCCCGGCACACCTGAAGTCGGGCAGGCTCAGCTGCAGCTTCTTCCGCGCCCTGTTGCGGGTGATGTAGTTGGTGGCAGATCCCCGCTCGTACTGGGGAGAGACGGGGCGTCAGAGGGAAGGCGAGGGGAACCCCGCGACAGGAAACGGCGGGGGAAAGGGAGAAGAAACGGGAACCGGAGAATGGGGGCTGGGGGCACCGGGCACGGCCAGCTGAGGCGGCAGGGAGACCGGGTGTCACGGCACGGACAGGCAC